GCTGTAGATTGTCTTGTCACTTGCAGTTTCATACTCCACACATTTCTGTGCAAGAAACTGAAACAACTCCTGCTTGTTTTCATCGGTCCGAAGAAATCCTGGCCAGTTGCCTGGAATTCTCTTGGAGGATGAAACCTGACGCCTAGTGCCACAGCCCCTCTTCTGTCTCGTTGCATTTTTCAAGCTGTCGGACAGATACACATCCATACAATATCATTTCGACAATATCAATCTAACACTATGCAGTTCCTTCACAATATATGGTAGGAAGACCTCCTGGGCATACTCCTAGAAGGTACCACAGGTTCCAGGAACCAGAAAGTGAACTACATCAGGTCCATCGAGAACTTAACCATCAACCTCCAAGGACGTACCATGACTGGTTGTCACATTTTCTTCGATACAGTCCAAATGGTACTGCTTGTCACCCTGGCGCATCTGACCAAATGAGGAGATTGGTTCTCATGCTTAAAGAATTCATCAGCATCACCTTCTCTAGTTTGACTGGCAATGTACAACCTTGAAAACAGAGCCCTATCATTCTGCAGCTCTGTAAGTCTCCCTGCTGCCTTGGTCTTCTTCACACTAGGCTTGCTAAACACGGCCAGATTGTTACGGGAAAACGTGTCTCCAATTGACTTCTAATTGGACTTCCGCTCTTCCATGAATTGGTAATATTTTGCCTTCTCCAGTGAATGAAGGCTCCTCATAGCAAGTACAACTTTCTCTGGTATGATGGCTTTGGAATTGAGATTTAGCAAGTCCATACTCTCCTCCATAAATGGGTTGCCCATCTCTTCAATTGTGGTCACCAGTGACTATACATCTTGCACGAATTTCTCTTGGGTTGTGATCTGTTCGTGTGCCTGGTCCAATGAAATGGCAGAGAACAGTCTGCTTGCCTCATCCTTCATACAAGATACGGGAAGTTCATCTTAATAGGTTGTTTAATTTGTCAAAAAATAAACAAAATATGTAATGTTGTATTTTATATAAGGCTTGCCGTCATCTTGCAAATCAATCTGGCCGACACCAGATGTTCCAAATAGCGATATTAATGGATTCCTTGACCCTGAAAATGGGGGTTAGCCTCTTGAAATCCAATATGGCCGACACCGGATGTTCGAAATAATGATTTTACTGGATTCCCTGACTCTGAAAATGGGGGTTAGACACTGAAATCGTATATATCCCATGATTTTAGTCTTGGCCGCAGGACTACAGTATAAGGAGCCCATCCTGTATGCCAAGAGTGCATGAAAGAAATATGATATCCAGCAATTCATTTGGGTCCACTGATACACACGTAAAGTCATTCCTATCAGTACAGCTATACTGGTATGTCAGCTCAACCGCACAGCATGTTCAAGCTAGAGTAACATTAATTACCTGAATACTGCAGTAGGTTCTTGATTAACAATGGCTACGTGGACTAAGTTCTTTTCCCACTCCTTTGATTTTTCTACTCCATTAAATATCTTTATTGCTGTAATTATTATTATGTAAACACCTGGTCAGTTTTTCTATTTTCCCCAATTTTAAGCACTCCCTCACAAGCGCAGAAGAAGACAGGCTGGTGGAAAGTAATATCTAATTGTGATTGTTCACTTGTATGGGGCATACGCATAGACCATTCACTCCGACAGGAATTGGCTACACATGCTCAGTGTGGCCCCCACCACATACTCAGAAACCTGTGCGTGTACTGATGCAGTGAGTTCTCTCGGAAGGACCCTTTTTGCCCTTTGAAGCACGCCCACTCTTGTTCCCACACGGAGCGAATTGGTTTGCCAGTTGTTTTTATTAGAAACAAAAGAAGTTGGCACTACACAATATTTTCCTCTCCAAGGACAGTGAAGGTCAAGGACTAACTGACCAGGAGATCTATGACGAAGTGGACACATTCATGTTTGAGGGGCACGACACGACAACATCAGGCCTGTCCTGGTTCCTGTATGACATGGCCCGGCTGCCAGAATTCCAGCAGAAGTGCCAGGAGGAAATTGATGACCTCCTAGCTGACAAAGAAGATGACCGAGTGGAATGGTGAGTAAAGCTTGGCTGGTGCTATTTTGACAATGTTGTTTTGTGCAATACCTGAATTGCCATGGGTAGCCCACTAGGCTACTTAAGTGCAGATTTTACCAACCTGTTTAGATTTTTTTATGTGGAGCCTACAGAACATCACCTTTTCCTTTTGGCTGTATTCCAATCACTAAATTTGTTGTTCCACTGCTGTCAGTAAACTTGCTACCTCTTACTTTTCATCCATACCATTGATCATATGCTCTTCTCCCTTGCTTGGTATACTGCTATTTGGTAGACTTGAATTGCTCTATTCTTTTACTTACTTAATAGCCATGTTATCAGCCAACTTCTGCCTGAGAAAAGTTCCCAAGTCACCTTTCCCAAGAGGGAAAGTCTGATGCCCATAGTGCAGGTCAATAAAAGCATGGGAAAGTGGCCCAGTAGAGTGTACCGGTACATGTACACATCTAATACACATCTAGTACACATCTAATCCTACAACTGCATGCTTCACTATACACTATGAATCTCAACACCGTGAAAATATAGTTTACACTTAATTCACCGTTAAACTTTCTTACATGGCAGAATAAGCCCTTTTTCACGGTACAAAATGAGCCTGCTTTTGGGGGGGGCTAGCTCATTGTAGTTTCACGGTGTTTTTACATGAGCTTTAAGGAGGCGAGGCATTCTATTGTTATTCATAACGTTTTGGCCATCCAGCTTCCCACCTGTGGAGGTGCTAAAACCCACAGATTAATGGTCTAATTGACGGCGGGATTAGTGTGACTGACGGCCTCAGTCATCGGCCCATGCAACAAGCATGCACCGATGTACATGTACTTCAATAAAGAATGTCGATCTTTCTCAGAGTATACGGTACCCAAAGTAACGACCACCCTTCGTGCATCACTGTTTTATATATCATGAGTGAGGTGGATCTGCTCACGGTAATTAAAAATAAAATGTTTTGTTCTGTACAATTTAGCACATCGATCAGCACTGCCACTGCAGCAAATCTCTTGCCTTCAAACTTTAGACCTCAATTGCTTACATCCATGCGATCGACTGATCCTCTTTTTACTGTGGTAAACTGTATGATCCCAATTGCATGCCCATTCACTGTTTACTTTTTGATGTGGTTATAGTGCTCCCGTTTACAACACTTTTGGGGATATAACGCTCTCGTTTTTTGCCCCCGAGAACCATATAAAGGAACTTAAAATGATCATGGTTACAGCACCCTTTACCTTAGAAAATCAGATTCTGTAAAAATCAATGCATACAAACTGCATCGCAAGGCCACCACGCTGTGACTGGCCGGCCAGCGGGGCTACTTTTTTGATGCGTAAATTCATTGCAAATTATAAATTCACTCCAAATTCACTGCATTGAGATTCATAGTGATACAGGGATATTATGCATGTGCATTGCATGCTTCACTAGGTGTGGCATGTGGTGAATATTTCTAGTAAATTTGTTCCTCTTTTGGTCCCAGTTGTGGCACGGTCATTCACAAGTCATAAGTAATGGCACTGACAGCTCGGTCATTTCTCCCGCATTCTTGGTAAAAGGTTCCTGTGTCAAAAGTCCAAGTGCAGAAAGTAGTCACATTTGACCTTTATTGTTTGGCCATCGGCTCAGTATAACCCTCAAGAAAATAAGTCCAGTACAAACACGGCTTGTGCTGTTGTACTTTGCACATGTGATGGGCTCTTCATGGGCAGTGAATGCTTTACCACATGTGTGCACAGGGAAAAGCGCCTAACAACTCTTCACTCAGACAAAATTTCAGTCCTGGCTTGGAGTGCAGGAAAACTTTCTGGCATTCTTTTACACCAAGCCTAAAAAGTAAAATGGAGATTTTTATGGAAACAGATTTACTGAAACCCTTCATGAAACAAATCATGAATGTTTCCCATATGCAGCAGAAAGAATGTGAATTAGTGATAAGCTGAATGTTCTTCTCAATCTCACCTCATGAAATTATTTAATCCCATTGTGCAATTGCTATGAGATTGTTCTGATTTCTGAAATATGACTAGGAGACAAAGTTAACAACTGAAGGCTGCTGTAGTGGAACAGCTCAGAGCTGTATTCTTTATTCAGTTGACTCTCTCAACTTCTCCAGTCATCTCTGATGTCTAAACTGAGCACGGGCATATTCACACAGTCCTCATCAGTTACAATAAACAATGACCACTGTGCTCATGTGCGGTTAATCTGTATGCATGTACAACAGCAATGGTCCTTGAATTTCACTCATAAACAGTCATTATTTCAGTGGCATTTAAGGGGGATCTTAAAGACAACACCGTTTTTGTAGATGGTTACAGTTGCGGCTTTGCGTCAGAACTGGAAACCTGAGCCGTTGACCGTTAGTATAAGGAACTAATTACAAATAAAGGGATTCGTGTGTAAACTACAATTTACAGAGAAACACAGAATTTTTTATGTTTTGTTACATTTTCAGTGCCCCATGTCAACATCACTGAAACAAAAATTGCATAATACCGGCCAATTAAATGGAATTTTTGTAATTGTAGGGAAAAAAGAAATGATTAATTTTTTCAGAAAGCAGAAGTGCTCGATTTCTTGTTTTCTAGGGATGATCTCAGTAATGTGCCCTACCTGACCAAGTGTCTGAAGGAGACCCTGCGTGTGCATTCTCCCGTCCCCAATATCGTGCGAACATTGACCCGACCTTTGACCTTTCCCAATGGCAGGACGTTGCCAAAAGGTGAGTGTGAGCAGTACCCACAGTTTGTCCCATTCCTGCAGGCTTGCCCATGTTGTGCAGGTGTGGCGTACATAGTGTGGACCTCTGTACAAAAGAAGTCCACATAATGTAGGGTGCGATGGCATAGTGTGTACTTGGAAATGTCTGTAATGTTGTCCTTGTCTTGTCAACAAATTAAACCTACAGATGCATCAAAATGAAGCACTGCATTTTAACAAAATATGTGAAAATATTAGTATTACATCCAAGTCCCTATATAGAGAATGTGCCAGTTGGGTATTAAATTCACCTTGCTGGAAATTTAAGTAGCCTGGGAGAATAATACAGCATACTTGACTAGGAATAAACACTTTGTGTCGTGGGATTGGTAGATATGTCTCGTATTTGAACTCTCTTGTAATTTGCTTGCCTTGTCAAGTTTCAGTTTATATTCTTGTTGTCAATTAAGGGTCAATACTATTTTATTTTAAGAATAGATTTGAATGATTTTTAATAATGGGTCAGTCTAGATTTGTTTCTTCTGATCATGACCATTCAGGAACTTCTGTAAGTGTCGTAATTGGTGGGCTACACAACAACCCCCATGTGTGGGACGACCGTGAGACCTTTGCCCCAGACAGGTTTTCACCAGAGCGGGCCAAGAACATTCCTCACTTTCTTATGTGCCCTTCTCGGTCGGACCAAGGTGAGAGAGGGCTGTCCACCATGCCCAATTACATTGGCTCATACACTCTCATCTGACTTTTGCACACTGGAGGACATGTATTAAAACCAGTTATGATTTCCTGTACCAGTTACAGGGAGGTAGTTCGGTTTCGGACATCATGTGTTTATACACAGAGCCGGGGTGCCCAGTTTCGGACAAAAGAGCTGGTTTGTGTAACAAAAGACTTTACTCAGATCAAAGGACCCGCTGCTGGGAATTGCCATCATTTTTCGACTTCCATTTTTCAAAGGTAATCCGGTACTGTTTGAAACAGTATACCACTGTTTTGGGCATAGCGCACCCTTGGACAAAAGTGCTCCAGGGCCCCATCGATGAGCAACACAGCGCTGCTGCTCACTAATCCAGCAGTGTATGAAAAAATGCTACTGGCATTCACCGGAACAAAGGAAATTATGCAAAACCTCACAATTCTGGGCTCTCTTTTACAGTGCTGCAGACCTGGGCTGAATACTAGGGCGTCAATGAAAGTTGCCTGTCAGATTAGAGTAGCCACCAGACAGTCATTCGCATGGTTGTAAATGTCCAATAAATGAAGAAGAATTTTGAAAACAGAAAATCTTGAAAAGGTCCCATCATCTCATTCCCTCTCAAGAAAAATCCACCCGGCAGGTAGTTGATAACCATTTCAAGCTGGATTTTTCATGATTGCATGGATTGTTCCTCATCATTTTACAACAGGTAATCCTACCCCCCAAATGTTTCTGAATCTTTGGGGGGAGACCCTGTTCGGACATGTGAGTCCACACATTATGTCCTCTTTGCATTCATTATGAGGACTTCCTTCTTTTTGGAGGTCCGCTCTACATGGCCAGGCATTGTACATGTAGCAGGGGCATGTTTTGGCAATCCCTAACCAAAAACAGGACGTCACACAATACATGTACATGTTAAGACCAAGAAAAAAAGGTTCTGCTTCTGATTACATGCCTCTCAAAAATGGGGTTGGTAGGTTGCAAAAAATTTTTCGGTCATTTTTTTGTGCTGAGTGAATAGCATAAATGGGGACAAATACTGCCACAAATTGCAACCTAAAGTGATAAAAACTTGCCTTAACTATGTATTTTCACTTCCTATAGACAGCAAAATGCAAAACAAACTCATGAAAATAACTGAATTTTCTTTTCAAAAGTTGCAAATGTTAGTAGAAAACATGTAAATGCCAACCCTTTAACCACTTCCTACCGGGCGTACCGTTTTCAAGTACATAGGCTTTATACACGAAGCCGGGGAGCCTGAAACCGGACAAAAGAGTTGGGCCTTGTAACAAAAGACCGTGCTTGGCACAAAAGACCGGGCTGCTGGGTATTACTGACATTTTTTCACTCTCAGTAGTAGAGATAATCCAGCCTTGTTTTGAAACCGTATACCACGGTTTAGGGAATTTACAGGGAGCGGATTATCACCGGGGACAAAAGCTCTCCACCAATGCAGCGATGAGCCACACAGCACCGCTGCACGCTAATCGGGTCCCCATTGAATAGAGGTCAGCAGTTCACTGTTTCCGGTTTGGGGAACAAAAGAATCTTGCATAACACCGCACAATCTGGGCTCTTTTTACAAGGCTGCAGGCCTGGCTGAAAAATTCGGGTGTCAATGAAGGCCACCTGTCAACTTAGAGTATAGCCCAAAGAGTCCTTCCTTTGTGTTTAAATGTCCGTTAAATAAAATGATGAAGTTTTGAAGAATTTTGAAAACTGAAAATCTTGAAAAAAACCCGTATGTGTGCACTGCATTTTTCAAACCACCCGGCAGCTTGTTGTTCTCAGAGTGTTTTGTGAAGACAAAACAGACAGCAGTATTTTTTTTTTTCATTTTTAACATTTGACTTTCGAACTTGCCGATAAAAATTTGGGGTTGCTCTGAAAACTTAGGATCAGTCGGCAAACAGAAAGAACAATTACTTTTTTGGCTTAAAGGTAGCCCACACAAAAAAAGAAACAGAAACAGTTGCTCCATCTGACAGAGGCAAGCACAAGGAAGCAGACGACACTGTTGATGAACATGATTTTCATTCAATATTCAGCATGTTTCTCACCAGTGCTGCTCTCTTTTCGCATACATGTACATTAAAGAAGAAAATATCTGTTTGATTTGCTGCATGTAACAACAAATTTTGAAATGTATAATTCAATCATCTGAGGAGGCCACAAAAATTGTCTGTTTATTTCCCGCCATGATGAACCAGCACTGAAACAACTCCACACGTTGGTTCTCATTCAGTCGGAATAATGTCACAGAGGCACAAAAAGGTCAGAAGTCACTCCAGCACATTTAAATATTTGTGTGTTTATTTTATGCATACCTGCCAGGATTTGTGTGCTGGGATTCATAATTCTATTTGTTTGAAGTACTCAATCAACACAGCCTTAGTACATGGACATAATTCATACTTAATCACCAACCTAATAATTATTGATATTTATATGTTGATTCAAAATGTTATTCTCAGGAACATTAAATGCTCAAATTAAATGAAATTTTGATAGATTCCATCAATCAGCCCTATTCCAGCTAAGATGATTGATAGGTTGTCCTCTTTTCTCAATCCTCCTCGTCATCATCATCCAACAAAGGCATAGTTTGCCCGTGGTCTCCTACTAAAATTATATGCAGCAGGTGCCTCTCCCACTTACCATTACCAGATAGGGATGTTGTCAACCCAAGTCATTTTCGGTCAGCTATCAGGGCGTTGACACCCCCAGGCATTCCTTGCAGTACAGCTGTCGCTACACCACCTTGCCAGACCGCAAGGCCCTAGCTAGCCAGTCTGAATTTTGTTGAAGCATAATACGACTGCTGAAGCACCATCAGTCTCCGATCATCTCCAAGAGTCTTTTGTTGGTCACATGATCAAACCACTTGATGTTGAGCTGATGCCGCCAGATGGTGCAGCGGAAGCTGTCCAGGTGGTTGATATTAGGTGCTTTCAACGACAGTGTGGTAGCTCCATACATCAACCTGGACTCAATCAGTGCCCCAGCGAGCTGTATCTTTTTACTTATAGACTGACGTGGTGGGAATACAGGTA